CACTTGACGGTAACCCACGTCCAGATAACATATGGATGTCCCAAGTGGGTCTCTTGGGTGTTTCAAGAGTTCCTGGATGTCGCTGGAGCCCCCAGGAGGGCTCCAAGCGCTCAAAACATCGATCACGGAGCATGGATCCCCGATTCTCCCCCTGCTCGATCCTTCCCCAAAGAAACGCTCCAACGGTTACACGCATAGAGGACGGGTGCTCTTCAGGCTGTGGCTCTCGCTGTTGCGCCGCACATATTCATCTCTCACGTTTCCACTCGTTACAGGGATGGATGCCGGTACGTTTTCAGAATGCGGCTCAGATGCGAGACATCCTCACACTCTACGACCCGAGTGTCCAGATTGATGGAGGGTGGCTCCTTTTCAAACGGGGCTCTCGCTCATGATTTCCGCTGTTTCATGCCTACAACTTGGAGGTTTTGTCAAGCTTGCTACGGATGGTGGGCGGCACCCTCTGTACACCAGGGCCCCCGCTTGAGACTTCGGCGAACTTTCTGGCCACGACTTCGAATTGAGCAGCACATGAGCACGGGCGGACGGTGCAGGGTCCGGCTTGCATAAGGCACGCTTTCTCTTCGAGAGGGGCTCGGTCGTTCCTCTGGTTTGCATGCGTTCCGCTACCTCTTCGGCGGCGAGCCCCTGGTGTTCCTTCCGACTTCTTAGACTTGCTTGGAAAAAGGGGCTTCGTTCCTTATTCATCGTTCCCTCGGTCAGGCCGAGTAGCGCATCTCTTTTCCAAGATGGGGTTGGCATCCTACGGATCTGCGCTTCCTTGGAGCTTGGAGGATGGAGGGTGGATCCTTTGCGAAACGGGGTCTCGCCCAAGTGGCGGCAGGCCCGCCGTACGCTCGCCATCCAATCAGGAGGAACAACAAAAAAACACAGACACAAGTACTCGTCGATTCCCAGGAAAACATGCGAACATATGTGAAGTGGTGGGGAAGACGAAAATCCCCCAAATGTGTGTCTATCTATCTGCGTGTGTGTCCCTGGGCCCCTTTATGTAAGGGGGGGCGCCTGGCAATGTGACTACCTTTCCGGGGACTGCTGAGGAGGCGACCTGCGACGGGAGGGCGTGCTGCAGCCTCGCCGGCGCATCCCGGGCTTGCTCCGGTCCTCGATCCTCGACCTTTTGCAAGCCGGACCGAGGATCCTCGAGGATCCTCGATCCTCGAGGATCCTCGATCCTCGATCCTCGATCCTCGATCCTCGATCCTCGATCCTCGATCCTCGATCCCCTGGCCCTCCCCCTCCTCAGCAGGCGTCTTGGCATCCTGGGTTTACCCTGGTCCCTCCTCGATTCTCCCCGATCCTGGATCCTCGATCCTCGATGCGCCCCCTCGTCATCCTTTCCCTCCTCGATGCCCGATCCTCCTTCCCCCTCGATCCCGGCCTCCGCTGCGCACAAGCTCCGCCGCTCCTGAGTCCTTCATCCTCGATCCTCCTCCCCTATCCTCGATCCTCGTCTCCCTCGACCCTCCATTCTCGATCCTCCTCCTCGATCCTCTCGACTCTGCCCCTCCCCGATCCCCGATCCTCCTCGATCGTCCTCGATCCTCGATCCTCCCCTCCTCGATCCTCGATCCTCGATCCTCCCCCCCTCGATCCTCCCCTCCTCGATCCTCGATCTTCGACCCTCCCTCGCGCAAGAAGAGGCCTCGCCCTTCGACGCGGCGGGCCGCGGCGCCTGCCACCCCGCCGCGCCGGCGGCCCCCGCCGCGCCGGCGGCCCCCGCCGCGCCGGCGCCGCCGCCCAGGCAGTTCACCGAGGCGCGCTCGACGACGCGGACGACGACGACGCCGACGACGACGACGACGACAACGACGACGAAAGCGACGACGACGACGACGACGACGACGAAACGCGACGACGGTGGCGTGGTCGTCGGCGTCGGCGTCGGCGGCGTCGTCGTCGTGGCGGTCCTGCAGGAGAGGGAGAGATACCGATACCGCTGCCATTCCCTCGTCGCCGCAGCTGGATTCGCCCCGAGATTCTGGTCAGGACGCACCTCGTCATCGTTGTCGTCGTCGTCGTCGTCGTCGTCGTCGTCGTCGTCGTCGTCGTCGTCGTCGTCGTCGTCGTCTTCGTCGACGCCGTCTTCGACGGAGAAGGAGGCAGAGTGGCTTGGAGGAGGAGTAGGAGGAGGAGGAGGGGGAGGGTGGAAGGAGGAGGTGGAGGGGAGGAGGAGGAGGTTAAGGTTGAGACTGAGGAGGTGGAGGGCGCGGAGGAGGAGAGGAACCGGAGGAGTGTCTGGGGTGTGGTACAACATCGATGCTGGCGATGCGGGCTTCCGGCTCGATCGTGGGAGGCATTCTCAAACATGGTTGATTGCTCAATTTCGGTAGTTGCATTTTTTGGCACATTTTTCCCCACATCCTAAGTGGGGTTCTTGTTTTCTCTGCACACCCTCCACGCAGGATCTCTCCTCCTCCTCCTCCTCCCTCTCCTCTGCTCCTCTTTGCTTCCTCCTCCGCATCATCATCACCATCACCATCACTCCCCACTCATCATCATCATCACCATCAGCATCACCATCACCATCCCACGATCACTCACCATCATCGGCATCGAACGATCATCATCATCATCATCATCATCATCATCATCATCATCATCATCATCATCATCATCATCATCATCATCACTACTCGCTGACTTGAGGCCTGAATATGGAGGAAGTCTCAGGCGGGAGCCTCGTCTGTGAGTGAATTGTGAGGAAGTCTCAGGCGGGAGCCCCCTCCCTATGGGGCCCGCACTTCATGTTCGAATCCGAGCGGGTCATCCGCAACGTGCAACTGTCGTCACTTTTGGGCTCTTGAGACTGAATATGGAGGAAGTCTCGAGCGGGAGCCTCGTCTGTGAGTGAATTGTGAGGAAGTCTCAGGCGGGAGCCCCCTCCCTATGGGGCCCGCACTTCATGTTTGAATCCGAGCGGGTCATCCGCAACGTGCAACTGTCGTCGCTTTTGGGCTCTTGAGATATGAATATGGAGGAAGTCTCGAGGGGAGCCTCGTCTGTGAGTGATTGAAGGAATCTCAGGCGGGAGCCCCCTCCCTATGGGGCCCGCACTTCATGTTTGAATCCGAGCGGGTCATCCGCAACTTGCAACTGTCGTCACTTTTGGGCTCTTGAGAGAATATGGAGGAAGTCTCGAGCGGGAGCCTCGTCTGTGAGTGAATTGTGAGGAAGTCTCAGGCGGGAACCCCTTCCCTATGGGGCCCGCATTTTATGTTTGAATCCGAGCGGGTCATCCGCAACGTGCAACTGTCGTCACTTTTGGGCTCTTGAGATTTGAATATGGAGGAAGTCTTGAGCGGGAGCCTCGTCTGTGAGTGAATTGCGAGGACGTCTCAGGCGGGAGCCCCCTCCCTATGGGGCCCGCACTTCATGTTTGAATCCGAGCGGGTCATCCGCAACGTGCAACTGTCGTCACTTTTGGGCTCTTGAGACTTGAATATGGAGGAAGTCTCGAGCGGGAGCCTCGTCTGTGAGTGAATTGTGAGGAAGTCTCAAGCGGGAGCCCCCTCCCTATGGGGCCCGCACTTCATGTTTGAATCCGAGCGGGTCATCCGCAACGTGCAACTGTTGTCACTTTTGGGCTCTTGAGATATGAATATGGAGGAAGTCTCGAGCGGGAGCCTCGTCTGTGAGTGAATTGCGAGGAAGTCTCAGGCGGGAGCCCCCTCCCTATGGGGCCCGCGCTTCATGTTTGAATCCGAGCGGGTCATCCGCAACTTGTAACTGTCGTCACTTTTGGGCTCTTGAGACTTGAATATGGAGGAAGTTTCGAGCGGGAGCCACTTCTGTGAGTGAATTGTGAGGGAGTCTCAGGCGGGAGCCCCCTCCCTAAGGGGCCCGCATTTTATGTTTGAATCCGAGCAGGTCATCCGCAACGTGCAACTGTCGTCACTTTTGGGCTCTTGAGACTTGGATATGGAGGAAGTCTCGAGCGGGAGCCTCGTCTGTGAGTGCATTGCAAGGAAATCTCAGGCGGGAGCCCCCCCCCCCCCCCTGTGGGGCCCGCACTTCATGTTTGAATCCGAGCGGGTCATCCGCAACGTGCAACTGTCGTCACTTTTGGGCTCTTGAGATTTGAATATGGAGGAATTCTCGAGCGGGAGCCTCGTCTGTGAGTGTTGTGAGGAAGTCTCAGGCGGGAGCCCCCTCCCTATGGGGCCCGCATTTCATGTTTGAATCCGAGCGGGTCATCCGCAACGTGCAACTGTCGTCACTTTTGGGTTCTTGAGGCCTGAATCTGGAGAGGAAGTATCGGCGGGAGCCTCGTCTGTGAGTGAATTGTGAGGAAGTCTCAGGCGGGAGCCCCCTCCCTATGGGGCCCGCACTTCATGTGTGAATCCGAGCGGGTCATCCGCAACGTGCAACTGTCGTCACTTTTGGGCTCTTGAGATTTGAATATGGAGGAATTCTCGAGCGGGAGCCTCGTCTGTGAGTGTTGTGAGGAAGTCTCAGGCGGGAGCCCCCCTCCCTATGGGGCCCGCATTTCATGTTTGAATCCGAGCGGGCCATCCGCAACGTGCAACTGTCGTCACTTTTGGGTTCTTGAGATATGAATATGGAGGAAGTCTCGAGCGGGAGCCTCGTCTGTGAGTGAATTGTGAGGAAGTCTCAGGCGGGAGCCCCAGGAGGAAGAGGAAAGGGCAAAGGGTAAACTAAACAGATTCTCATGTGGGGTCCTACCGTCGGAGTAATTATGAACAGCGGTATTGCCAGCATGTTATGGGTCGTTCCCCCTGTTGACACAATGTTCTCTCTGCCCTTCAGCACTGCGTTGCTATACGCTTGTACCTTCGCAGAGCACGGGCCCCCTCGGTTTCTTGGGCCGTCGTCTCTCGCCATTGCTTGCGCCGACGGCTTCTTTCTTCTTGCGCAGGATCCTATGCGCGAACAGCGCGCGATCCCGTAGTGTTAGGGTTTCAAGCGGCGGCGCTGGCTAGCAGCTCGAGCGTTGGGGGCATTCTCGATGTAATTAT